CACACTGGGGCCCTGCCTGCCCTCCATTCCATCTGACAAATATTTATTAGGCAACTGCTGGGTGCCGGGGGCAGAGCATGGGGAGGCACTGCGGAGTCAGGAAGGAACAGCAGAGACAAGAGACCTTCCTGGTGAAGGAGACATTTGGGTGGGAGCCAGACAAGAGACAAGATAAGCGAGTAAATATCTTTAGTATATCCCAGGGCAGCGAATGCAGTGGGGAAAAAGAAAGTAGTAACAGGGGGTTTGTTGTGCTTGTAAATGAGGGAGGGGAGGGTGTCAGAGAAGGACTTTCTGGGGAAGAGACATGGGAGGGGAGACTTGGAGGAGGTGAGGGAGGAGACTTGCAGATTTCTGGGAGGAGATAGTCCAGGCCCAGGAAATAGCCTGTGCAAAGGCCCTGAGGCAGGAATGTGCCTGGTGAGGAGGCCCAGGTCGCAGGAAGGAAGGAAGGAAGGGAAGAAAGTGGGGAGACAAGGGCAGAGGGGTGATGGAGGACTTGGGGTTTTGCTCTGAGTGAGGAGGTCGGCAGATAGAATGCCCCCCCCAAGACATCTACGTCCTAATCCCCAGAACTTGTGAATATGTTCCCTCACATGGCAAAAAGGACTTTTCAGATGTAATTAGGTTGTAAGGATCTTCAGACAGGGAGATAATCCTGATTATGGGGTGGGCCTCATCTAATAATACAAATCCTTAAAGGCAACAGGGGGAGGCAGAAAGGTGGTCAGAGAGATGCCACATGAGGACTCTCCCGGCGGGTTTTGAAGATGGTGGGAGAGGCCACAAGCCAATGAGTGCAGGCCACTGTTTTAGCTGACACCCGGCAAGAAAATGGGGACCTCGGGGCTACAACCCCAAGGAACTAAATTCTTCCAGCCGCTGAACGCGATGAGGGCTCCTTCGCTAGAGCCCAGCCATCAGCTGATATCTCAGCCCAGGAAGACCTAGAGCAGTCTCCACGTTCCAGAACCTGAGATGATACAGGTGTGTGGTGGGAATTCCTGATGGCAGCACCAGGAAACCAATGCAAGGGGGGGAGTCGGCTGAGTTCTGAGCAGAAGAGGGGCACAACCCAGCTTAGGTGTTCAGTGGCACCCCCGGGGGGCTGAGGGGGACAGACCTCCAGGCGAGGCCGGGCTGCTGGGGGCCAGGGTGGAGGCAGCTGCAGGTCCAGGTCCAGGTGGGCGATGCAGGGCCGGACCAGGTGGGGCCGTGGAGGTGGGAGAAGTGAAGTCCAAGGTTTGGATGTGAGTAGAGGAAAGGACATGGAGAGAGAGACAGGAATCAAGTCAAGGATGACAGGAGGCTTCCGATCTGGGTACCTAGTGCCCCCAGTCCTCTCTAGCCCCCTATCCACCCCTTCAGGCGGTGGCACAGGCTGCCTTCTCCTCTGAGGCTCCGACTGCACCCTGTGGCCTCTCGATCCTGGCATTCGGCCTCCCCATTCTCAAGACAAGAAGTCAGCTGCGACTGGCGAGGGGCTGAGGCTGCCAGGGCCCTGACCCCGAGACAGGACTGGAAAGCTGCCTCCTCCCTCCCATCCGAGCCCAGCCAGACCAGCTCCCGTTTCTCCCCTGGTCTGTGCATCTCTCTCTCTCTGGAATTTTCATCGTCTTTATGGTAACCGAATTATCCAATCTCTGCCTCTTGCCAGGGGCTGCCCGCTATGGCGTGGGCGAGGACCGCCTGGGTCCCAGCTCGAGCTATTAAACCATCAATCACCTGTCACTGCCAACTCCCCTGCACCTGGGACCCTCTGCTGGCTGGGCTGTGAGCCCCGGGACCAGAGGCAACTCAGACACAGACCTGGAGGCCTCCGGACCCTGAAGGGTGGGGCCTCTGAAGAAAGTCACAGGCCTTGCTCACCTGGATCCAGGGAAAGCCGTCCTGGGTTCAGATCCACCAGCTGCCTCTTGCCAACCAGGGCAAACCACTTCATCTCTCTGTGGCTCAGTTTCCCCACCCGGAAAATAGAGATGATAACCTTTTTTAAAAAAGTTTTTTTTAAAAGATTTTATTTATTTATTTGACAGATCACAAGTAGGCAGAGAGGCAGGCAGAGAGAGAGAGGAGGAAGCAGGCTCCCTGCTGAGCAGAAAGCCCAATGCCAGGCTCGATCCCAGGACCCTGAGATCATGACCTGAGCCGAAGGCAGAGGCTTAACCCACTGAGTCACCCAGGTGCCCCTTTTTTTGTTTTTGTTTTTTAAGTATTCTCTCCACCCAGCCCGGAGCTTGAACTCACAATGCCGAGATCAAGAGTCCCTCGCTCCACCAACTGAGCCAGGCATCCACAAGAGGTAATAATATTTTTGTTGTCATTGCTGTTTACTGTGAGGATTACGTGAGTGAGTATGATGGTAGGATCTGGCACTTAAGAAGTCTTTTCTAGGGTTTGTTGCTGTGATCGCTGTCCTGCTCCTAGCATTCACCGGGCATCTTCAACTGCTGATAGACATCTAAGACTTGGGACGCCTGGGTGGCTCAGTGGGTTAAGTGCCTGCCTTTGGCTCAGATCATGATACCAGGGTTCCAGGATTGAGTGCCACAATCGGGCTCCTTGCTCAGAGGGGAGCCTGCTTCTCCCTCTGCCTGCCGCTCCCCCTGCTTGTGCTCCCTCTCTCTCTGATAAAATCTTAAAAATTTTTTAAAAAGCCTCTCGCAGAATCTTAACTACTGCTGAGCACCCCACATTTAGTGTTACTCATTTCGGATAATAAGGCTCAATGCTTTGCACTGGCTGTTCCCTCTGCCTGGAATTCTCCTCCACCACGTGCCACGTGACTCCTCTTTACCTGCTTCAGAGCTTGGTTCACAATTCCCCTCCTCAGCGAGGTCACCCAGTTAAACTTGCTCGAGGCGTCCTTGCCAGCCTCCACCACCCATATTATTGCTTGCACAGTGCGCATGTGCGGCCACCCACGGCCCAGTAGGCGGTGCTTGCTGGGTTTGTCCGTCCGCCCCACTGGAGCGTCAGTCGTAGGCTACGAATTATTCCTCCACCACCACGCACAGCCGCTGGTGGAAAGTAAACGCTTGGTAAATATTTGTTGAGTAAATGAATGTATTCCAAGGCTGCTCTCCTCTGGGCTTGTCAGCAATTCTGGGCTTTTAGGGGGTACAGGAGATGTGATCAGTCCTGTGCAGGGCCCCAGCTAGTCTTCCCTCATCTTTATATGGATCTATTTTTCTTTCTTCCTTTACTTTATTCCTTCCCCCCCCCCCCCCCCCCCTTTTTTTTTGAGGTGAAGCTTACCTAACATAAAATCGACCATGTTAAAGATTACACTTCAATGACATTTGGTACCTTCACAGTGTTGTGCGGCCACCAACTCTACCTGGTTCCAGAACATTCCCATCACCCCAAAAAGAAACCTGTACTCATTAAGTCACTCCGCAGTTTTCCCTGTCCCCCCAGCCTCTGGCGACCACCAGTCTGCTTTCTGTGTCCATGAATTTACTTATTCTGGACATTTCACGTCAAAGGCATCATGTGTGATCTTTTGTGTCTGGCTTCTTTGAGCATGACGTTTTCAAGTTTCATGCACACTGGAGCATATGCCAGTATCAGAGTACTCCTTTTTAGGGCTTAATAGTATTCCAATGTACAGATGGACCACATTTGCTCATCCATTATCTGCTGATGGACATCTGGGTTGTTTCCACCTTTTCTGTGGATCCTTAAAAGTCACCTTTTCCTCTGGGCCAGTGAAGGGTGTGGTGATGGGGAACAGAGGAAGGACATCAGCCCTTGCTCTGGCTTTTGTCTGGCACTCTTGTGCAGTGAGCACCCTACACAGCTGTTCATGGCAGCCCTCCTGGTGCCCATCCTTCCCAACCAGCTCAAAGATCAAGAAGCCAGGAGCTGCACCTCCTTACCTAGGCTTTCAGACTGCCAATCCCCAAGCTCAATGGTCTGCTTACCCCTGTGGAAGATCTGCCTGGGAATTGGGCCACTCTGGCTGGGACTCCAAGCCCCCTCCATCCTCGTGCCTCTGGCGGGGCCTCCCTTGCCTCTCCAGGCTCTGGGGACTCTCATGCTCCAGAGCCCCTCCCCCGTCCCCCTTCTGCAGGGTCTCCACTCAGCCTGGAGGCCCACACCCGCCGACTTCTCCCAACCTTCTCTCTGTGTCTCCCGCCCCCGTGGCTATTTTTATTTTCCCTTCTTATTAAATTTCCAACTTCTGCAAACACCATGGCCCCTGCCTGGCCGCCGCCCCCCCCCCTTTCCCTTGGAGCGGATTTGATTCACTTGCGTTTTATTAACAGATTAAAAAAAAAAAAAAGCACGCAGCTGCCACCACACTGTGCCTTCTCTGCTTTCTTGGAGGTTTAGAGAAGCTAGAGGGAGGAAAAGCGGGCTGCAGGGTCCCTCTGGGAGTTTAAATCCACCCTCCTCCCCGCACCCCAGCATATGTAGACCTTTCCATCTCAGCCTGAAGGCTGGGGGGTGTGGGGGAGGGGCTGGGCAGTGAGGCTGGGCCATTTCCTGAGTTGGAGGGATAATCTGAGGGGTGTCAGGCCCATGTGATTCCCCCAGCCAGCACCACAAGGTGGAATCCGAAATGTAAAAAAAAAAAAAATAAATAAATAAATAAAAAAATCCTATGGAGGCCCCGCCCCCACAGACAGTGGGTGGGGACCTGGCCGCCGCCCAGGTGGTCCTGCGAAATCCGGGCTTAGATTTGGAAGTTTCTACGCCAGAGCTGGGATTGCCTCCCCCCATTTTCCTTTTCGGATAGCTGGCGGGGACTGGGGAGCAGACACAGAAGGCTCCAGGCTCCCTGACACCACCTACTCTGGCAGAGCTCCCTCAGCTTTTCCTCCCCAGGAGATTCTGATCCCAGTCTCCTCCTCCCCACCCCCTGCCTCCCAGAGCTGAGAGCCCGAATTGCTTCTTCATGCCCCCGGGGTGTTTTCCCCCCTAAAATTCTTTGTGGCAGTCACTATGGCAACCAAGAACCCAGCTGCACTTTATTTCCTCAGGATACAGGATGGGGGGTGGGGAAGTAGATAGGTGGGTTCAACTGGGACTTTCCTACCCTCTTCTTTCCCCTTAGATGGGTGGGTTCAACTGGGACTTTCCTACCGTCTTCTTTTCCCTTCTTCTGACCCTCCTCCTCCACAGGGTCTGGTCCAGCCTTGGTCCACAGAGATTAGGCTGCCTGTCCAGCTGCCCTTCCTGGCTTGATGGGCTGCAGCTCCCCACTGGGCCCCTCATCCATTTGAGGAAGGTTCTTCATCTGGCCAGAGTGCTAAGGTTAAATGATGCCCTGGATCCCAGTGGAATTTCTTTCCCCTTCTTTTTTCTCTTCCCTCTTCCTCTCCAATCCCATAATCAGGGTAGGCTAGAATGGTTGGGCAGGTTGGACACTGCACAAGGGGGCACAGAGTGAGCTCAAGCCATGCTGTGAGTGCCCCTTTCTCCTTTGCTCAGGGGTACCCTACAGACTAACCTCTGTCCTGCTGTAGCTGACACCGACTCTTGGTTCACTCTAAAGAGAGCCAACTATTTCGGTAACAAATTTCAGTTCCAGTCACACCCCAGAGCAGAGGAAGAAGGCAAGCCATGTCAGAAAGTTAAGGTTTTTGAACAGTATAAGCTACAGGTCTGTTGAGATCTGAAGAGAGCAAACCTGGGCAAGAGAAATTCTAGAGGGGCTACAGCTGGAGTCAAGAACCCTAGAATGCCTTGGGATTAACCAGAGAGGGACAGGGAGTGATTATCCAAATTTGCCAAGAAGTAACAGAGCTGGTGTAGAATGACTGCCACAAGGATCCAGCTCGATGTCCTCACTGTCTACACTCTGTGCCTCAGCACTGAGTAGCTCCTGCCATCAGGAGGTGGGGCCTATTTCTGTACCCCTCAAATCTGGGCTAGTCTTGTGATTGATCTGCTTTGGTCCATCCAATGTAACAGAAGTGCCCAGGCGCTTCTGAATCTGGGGCTCAGGAGATGCTGCTCGGTTCTGCTCGCTGAAAACCCTGCCTCTGTCACCAGACGCAAGCCCAGGCTAGCTGGTGGAAGGGTAAGGGACATCAAGGAGATAGCCCTGTCCTCCCAGCTGAAGCCATCCTAGACCAACATATGGCCAGCTGAGCCCCAAACATGTGACAGAGTCCTTCCAGACCCATAGCTGACCAAAGACTCATGGACGAGTCCAGCCAAGACCAGAAATGTCCCGCTGATCCGTAGACAGTGGAGCTGTCATTAAGGCTGACTGGCTAAGCCACGGGACCCGGGGTTGTTTGTTACGCAGTGTAAGGAGTGATAGGTAACCGGCACAGAGCCTGATAGACGCATGGGTGCATTAGGCATAACTTGCCCTTCCTCACAGAACTGGACTCAGATCTTCCAGCCCTGGATATGGTTACTATTTCCTTCCTTCCTTACAAAGGAAGGAAGTTCCTTCCTTCAGTTTCTGATCTCTTGCCACACCCGTCCACTTTCCCACTCTCACTTCCTTTAGCCACATCAGATGAGCCTCACACCCTCCAAGCTTGGACCCACTCACAGGTCAGGTCTCTGACTGCTGTGAGGCGCCGCACCCCCCCCCCCCCCGACCTCCCCCCTCTAGATCTTCACGTGGGTCCCTCCCTCACCTTCTATGTCCCAGCTCACATGTCCCTTCCTTTAAGAGGCCACTCCTACCTCAGACAGCCATGCCTCCCTCTGGCGCCTCATAACTCCTTCCTCTAAATTTTGTGGTTGTTATGGCATTTACCACTACCTGAAACAGTCTCCTTCCCTTCCTTGTCTCACTTCCCCAGACCCCTCCCCCTGCTTCCCAGGGTCACCTCCCAAATAAACTACTGCTCTCAAACCCTTGTCTCGGGTCCGCTTCTGGAGGGAGCCCAACCAAAGACAGCTAGGGAAGATTCTAGATTTGGGACAAGGACACTCGGTGGTGCTGGGTCCTTCTGTTGCTCCCACCAGGAGCCCCTCATGTCCAGCTGTGCCACATTTAGGGATGTTAAGGTTGACCCGGGGCTTCAGATGGGGGCTAAAAAACCTTCCACCAAAATACTCATCTGCCTTTTCCCCAGTGATTTCACCATCCATGGATGAGTGTGTCCCAGATCCATGATTTCATTACCGGTGGCAAAATAGCACTATTCCCAGTCTGTCGGGGCGTTTTCTCATTTATACACCTGTCCCCTCCACCAGGCTGAGAACCTCCTGATGCTAGTGATAGAGCTACTTCAGTACCGAGGAAACGTTTGCTGAAAGTACTTGAATTCTGGAGCTGGAAACCATTGGGAAAAAAAAAAAAAAAATCAAACAAACAGGTATTAGTCTTCCAGGGAAAAGAAACCTGGCACCACTCCTCTTGCTTCTGGGATCAAAGACGGTCTGGCTCCAGCCTCCTCTGGACCCCAGGCTTGGCCTCCCCCCACCTCCATCACTCCCATCATCTGATGGATTCTGGAACCTCTGGGAGCTTAGAAAGAAGAAAGATCATCTGTCTAAAGGCATCAACATCGCTTGCCTTTAATTTTTTTTTTATTTTAAACCTTCCCACAATTCAAATGTTTCTCTTATTATCTTCTGCTGAGGGAAAAAATTAATAACACGGCGCAATATAAAACACTAAATTAAAGGCATTTTGGAACCAGCAATTATTTCATAAGCTTCTCTTTTATTGCCGCGCTAATGTGCCTAATTGCTGTCTTAATGAGGACATTAATTTCTAGCTAATGTGATGTTATTATAGAAATTGCAGTCAATCTCTTAAAAAGGGGAAAGTGCTAGAAAGCTGTCCCACGAGGCAGGGGTTCTGGTCACCCTGGGGCTGAGGGGCAAATGAGAGGGGAGGGAGTGGCACTGGAGCCCAGGCTGGGACAGGAGCAGCGAGGAGCCAGGAAAGGGGGAAGGCAGGGGGAGCCTTGCAGGTAGTGGGCAGCCTGGGGAGGCTCCGGTCAGAGAACCAGCTGTTCTAGGGACCTAGGAGGTGGGACCCAATAGGGAACAGCGCTAGAACAACAGTAAAACCTAACACCAGGGGCAGGCACTGTTGGAGTGTCTTATTTATATCTTCATCCTTGCAATAACCCTATGAAATCAATAGCATTGTTAGTCCCATTTTATCGATGGGGAAACTGAAGTACAGAGAGGTGGACTGACTTACCCAAGGTCACACAGCTAGCAAACGGTGAAGGTGGGATTGGAACCCAGCCTGTCCAGCTTAGCCATTGAGCTGAGCTGCTTTTTGGCCAGTGCCCACCACTATCCATGATAATAATCTCAAACACTTGAGAGTTTATTAAGTGCCAGCCCTGTACCATGTCTCTCATATGTCATCTCAGGGTGGGTTCCTCTGAGAAGAAGAGGGGCAGGTCAAGCTACATCTGAGCTCTCCCTGATAGAAAAGGGAGGACAAGGCTCAAGGCTGACTGCACCCCCCGCCACACACACACATGGGAGCAGGAGATCTGGTGTAGGAGAGGGAATTCAGGGCCAGGGAGGGGAACTGTCTTTGCCCTGACTCATACCTCTGGCAGGTTACCACCAAGGGTCAGAGTGGGCTGTGAAGGCAACTGGTTCTCACTTCCTGTGTGACATTGGCTGTGTGGCTGGCGCTCTCTGTGGCTGGCCCCCTCAGTTCCTCAACTATAGATCAGGGATAACAGTGGAACCTATCTCAGAGGGCTGTTTCAGAGGATTAAGCAAGCTCAAATGATATATTAGTCAGAATCAGTACACCTCAGTGGCTGTGACAAGCAATCCCCAAACCCCATGGCTTAATACGCTACAGACTTATTTCTCACTGACATGGTGCGTAGCTCTGCTCGGCTTGGAAACCCAGTCTCCCTCTGTTCCGTGGTGCCACCTACTCTAGGGCCTCCGAGCCCTCGAGAGGATGCTCTCTGACCAGCCAGGAGATGAGAGAGCAAGAGACAGTGCACAGAGGGAGGAAGAGGGGGGAGTCTGGGAAGCCTGGTCTAGACTATTTCAACCCACACTCAATAGAAGCAGATCAGGAAAGATGGGGAATGGGTGTGAGGCCAAAAAACACAACCAACCACTTTTAAATTCCAACAGCTACTTACAGGAAAAGCAAAAGGAGAAGCCCCATGAGGCCCACATCCCACACTCAAAAAAAAAAAAAAAAAAAGATAACCTCGAAACCAAAGGGACCTGATTTGCTGTAGCTCAAGCCTTTGCAAGTGTGGCTTATGGAGAATTGCCAGGCACCATGATAGAGGTGGTCCCCTTCACGCCCTTTTATTTTATTTACAAAACTGACTTTCCTTTGTTTTAAATTTAAAGCAAGCCACTCACAAAGGAGACTTCTCTGACTTCTCTTATATGTATACAGTGAAAGAGGTTTATTTTAAGAAATTGACTTTTGCAGTTATGGAGGCTGGCAAATCCTATATCTGCAGAGTTGGCCAGAAGGCAGGAGACCCAGGGAAGAGCTGCAGTTTGAGTCCAAAGGCAGTATGCTGGCAGAACTCCTTGCTTGGGGACATCAGTCTTTGTTCTCTTGAGGCCTTCACCTGATTGGATAAGGCCCACCCACATGATGGAAGGCAGCCTGCTTTCCTCAAAGCCCACTGATTTAAACCTTAATCTCACCCAAAAAAAGGTCTGTCTCAGAAACTTCTCAAATAATGTTTGACCAAATATCTGGGCACCATGGCCCAGCCAAGTTGATGTAAAATCCAACTGTCACATCTGCTCAAGTCCAAACTCTTGTTTTCTATTACAGTAAAGCAAATATGGTTGGTGCTATTTTTACATTCCTTAGCGCATACACCCCCATGTCTCTCTGCCTGAGGCTTTTTTTTTTTTTAAGAATTTATTTATTTGACAGAGAGAGATCACAAGTAGGCAGAGAGGCAGGCAGAGAGAGAGAGAGGAGGAAGCAGGCTCCCCACTGAGCAGAGAGCCCGATGCGGGACTGAACCCAGGACCCTGAGATCATGACCCAAGCCGAAGGCAGAGGCTTTAACCCACTGAGCCACCCAGGCACCCCTGCCTGAGGCTTTTATACAAGCATGTGGGGTCTGCAGGCAGGAAGTGCTGGGAGCGGACACTCCCAAGAGTGACCGTCCTCAACAAGAGACAGAATTTTGGAGGATAAGTACCCCAGCTCTCTCCTCTGGGGAGCGGACTCTGATGTGCTCTCTGCTGCCTCCTGGAGGTCATCAGCGGAACTGCATTCCAGTTACCACATTGGGAACCGGCTCAAGAATATATGCTTCCCTTTTACTGCCTCACTACCTGTGTTTCTTGGAATCACCTTGCAGATTAAACTGCTTGCATCTAAATCCCTGTCTTAGGGCCTGCTTAGGGGGAAACCAGCTTATGGAATTCCCTCTTTAACCTCTTTCCCACCTCTACAGCAACAAAGCATCAGTGGGTAGGAGAATTTATTTTCGCAGAAAAGCAATACACACTCGTGATCAAATGAAACGAATGAAAGCTCTGTCAAAGGAAGAGCATGTCGAGTTGAGTCCCTCTCCGGGCTGCTCCTCTTTCGGCCTCCATATAGCCCTGCTAAGACCTACTTGGTGTATCCGCCCTGATGTTTTGTATTCACACTCCAGAATCCTCTGCCTTTCATAAACGGGGATCATTGCAGAGGCACCGTTCCACACTTGCCTTTTCTTCAGTTAATTATATAGCTTGGACACCCTCCCCAAATCGGCACATCCAGACCCGCCTCATTCTGCTTAATGACTGCAGAGTTTTGGAAGATGGGCTTTCAGAGAAAGAAAGGATTTGTCTGGAAGGCTCCGCCTGGAAGTCCCGGACCTGAGCTAATGAGATAGACGGCCACACTCCAATTCCTCTCCCATCTTTTCCAGCTCCTCTGTGCCTTGGGAAACCCACACGGACCCAGTGTCTGGTCTGCCCCACCTGAGCGGGACGGACAGGCCTGGGTCTGGGTCAGGGTGAGAGCTTCAGGCTCCGGTTCCAGCATCAACCGTCTATGCAGAAAACAAAAACAAACAACAACAACAACAACAACAACAACAACAACAACAACAAAAACAAATCTCAGAGCTTGGTACCTGCTCTTTGGACTTCCACAATGCAGCACTTGGCATCTCCTCCTGGCCTTGACCCTCCCCCCGCCCCCCTCAATAACCTAGGAAGATGTAGCAGCCAATCCATTTGCAGTGTGAATGGTCATGTGCTTCAGAAGGTTGGGTTCTGATTGGTCCAGATCCATTGGGCGTTCCCTTCCCCTCACTGATGATTGGCTGGGGCATGGCCCCTGAAGCTGTTGGCATCCCACGAGGTGCCTTTGTAAGTAAAGTTTATCAGGGCGTCGCCATCCTTATTTGTTTACGTATCTTGTTCAGGCTGCTTTTTGCCCTAGAAGAGCACGGTTGACTAGTTGCAACTCGGACTGTCCCACCTGAAAAGCTAAAAAGCACTTCTACCTGCGACCTTTACAGAGTTTGCTGGCCTCCGGGCAAGTGTATGCTGACTGCATTCTTAATCACCTGTGGCCCTCTGTCTGGGGGTTTCTCCTGATCCATGCGGGGGACAGGTCGGAAGTGAGTCTGGGAGCAGCCCTCAGTCTATGACAGATGGGAACCAGAGGATCGATTTGCAGGTCCCGCTCCACTTGGATGTGACATCTCAGATGTCCATGTCCACACAGTCTCTGCAGTGTAACCCAGTGGGGTTGGACCTCAGGTCCCCTTGGCAGTAACTGCTTATTTACACCTTCCATCTGTTGCCCTTTTCCTGTATCATTTCCCTTCTGCCCACCAGTGTTTCCTGGATTTACTCCCCAGATAAACTGCTTGCACTCCACTTGTGCTTCCCAGTGTGCTTCTGGAGGAACCCCAAACCCAGACCGCACGTGCCAGATTTCAGGTTAGGAAGAACCAGGAAAGGGCACCTTCCTCTTGAAAAAAGACACATCAAAGGGATGGTCTCTTCTGCTGCTGGAATCTGTTATTTTCTGCAAACAACACCTGGAGTTTTAGAATCTGTCTTCGGACCATGAAGAGAGCCTGCTGTAGGACAAAACTAAGATGCAGGGAGGGCAGAAGGAACTTGAGTTGATGACACCATTGGGTCACTGAATTAATCAACCCAGGAGCTGCCCTAACTCTGAACTTATTGTTCTACAAGATGGTGACTATTATTATTATTTTAAGTTAGCTTGAGTGGAGCTTTTCTTCTTCCTTTCTGATAGAATGAAAGACCTGGAGTAGGAAGTGGATGATCAGTCTAATGGAGTAAACACTGGGTTATCACCCTTGGGTGAGGTCAGAGGTGAAGTCTTTGCAACTGCCAGAACATTTTTTGTTTGCACACAAGAAAACCCTTAGTTGCCATAACTTATTCAAAAAAGAGAAGACCTTGGCTCATACCACTGAAAAAGAACAATAGCAGTATGACTTCAGGCATGGCCAGATCCAGGCACTTAATGATGTCAGTAGGAGTCTGATTCTATCCATTTCCTGATTCACATTTCCTCTGTGTTAGCCTCT